ACTTTCTTTACATACTTTTCATCTACATCCCAAACCCTACAAACTGGTTCCTAAACCGCCTCAAACCCCCTTCTCCCCGCTTAGTTATAGCCCCTTGGAAATTTTGAATGGCGGCGGAAAGGCTGCTCTAGGCGCGTATTGCTGCACGATGTATACATCATGCCTCCAATCCGAAGAATATGAATATCATCGCGTGTGTTCGATGATTCTTTTTCGTTTTTTTCCTACTGTTGCTTTGTTCCGTTCCTTTTCATGTATTTTCTCTTCGAATTCCTCGTGGAGGATGTCGTAATTTTATTGAAGTCAAAGGGGACTTCATTTTTCGCAAATTCGGGACGCCACCTCGTGCCGAGCCCTGGTTCAGGGTCAAAGGGGACTCCGTAAAAAATCGAAAAGTCAAGGGGGACTTCGTTTTTCGCATTTTCAGCTAGCCACCTCGTGCCGAGCCCTGGTTCTAGACGAGGCGGCTGCGAGGGAGCGGCGATTCTGCTGCACTCGACTCAGCAAATGATAAGCCCTGTTCAAGACCTGGCGCTTTGCAGCTTTTATTAAAGTTCTTCAGTGACGAGAAAACTCAAAAGCCAGTGTTTTAGCGCATCCTTCACCTACGCAGAAGTTACAGTAGCTTTTTGATGCTAGAAGTTTGGTGCCTCAATTTCGCAAGATCAAGAAGTACACAATCAGGATTGGAAAGGATGGGGAACAGGCTGAATACGTTTCGTATTGATTGCGAAGAAAAAATTGTTTGGAATTCGGCTGGGCCTTGGAAAGTAGTCACGATTTTTGCAACTCCATTTCGAAATTCCTTGATTTTAGCGCGTAAGCAAAGTGCGCTTACGTTATCAAAGGCACTCATGAAAGCTGAAGTTCGGAATGGGAAAAAGCAGCACATAGTAAAGTACTGCAGAACTTCTTCAAAGAAAACATTGAGAATACAAAGTACTGGCTCGCAGCACAAGATAAACCGAAATGATTTTTTGCCAAAATTATAAAGTTGCCAAAGCAATGGCTCGTGTATCCGCTACTGATGAGCTTCGGAAATAGCTGCAAAGTGTATCTTTGCTGGAAAAACAATAGCTCCTTATTGAAACTACCTCGGACAGAAGTCCAGACATTCTTATGAAAGCAACGCACATGTGAAAGTGCGGAAGAAAGTGGTGAATTTTTGATTCCTATAAGTACAATCCCATTGCTTTGATCAAGCAAAAGGAGATTGCATATATAAACACACGAATCAATGTGAGCAGGATGTAAGCAGTCCGTGCACGAATTTTTCAAAAAGATCCTACTGCTGAGTTCGGACTTCTGCTGGAAAAGGAGAAGTGTAGTGGTTTTATACACTGTTCAGAAACCCTTGAATTTTTTTTGTCTACTAGCAGTAGCAATCTAACTTTGCAATGCATGCGTATTGTTTCATCAAAGCTGAACAGCCAAGAATCGAGCGTGTGATGCGACTATCGCAAAGCTCGTGAATAAGAGGAGGTAGTTTGGACTGAATATTGCAAACGGAGGAAATCGAATAGTAAATAATTATCACATGTTCTTTATAATGATAAAGATTGTCGTCTATCGATGTATCAAATGAAGAGAGTGAGTATTTGTAGACTATCACTTAGTTTTGAATTTTTCAGGCTTGGCAGTTTCTTCTGCAAGAAATCGTGTCGCGTAAGTAATTTGAATTTGCTGGCCCTAATAATAACTGAGGATACGGGAAAAAAGCCTTCAGAAGCTTGAACACTACTGAAGGTATGTATTATGATAAAGATGTTAGATGTGCCGATTGGTCCAAAGGTCCTACTTTGACAAAAGCGGATATTTATACCAACGTTGACCATAAACAAATTGTAAATCTTTTTGCTATGTTTTGAATGGGTCCATACAATTTAGCTGCACTTTGGAGATGTCTACAAATTTGTGCAAAATCGGGTCTTCTTTTATAATCTTATATTTTTATATATGGCAACAAAAACTGAAATCTTTGGAGGGGAGCGTATCTGACAAAGGATGGATGCTTGGTCGAAGCGGCGCTTCCATATAAAATGTACAATATCTTATAGAGCATGGAATGCTGACTTCAAAACTGCTTTCGGCATCTGCAAAGCGATTCTTAGAGGGGAGTTATGAAAATTTTTTGAAGCAAAGATTTGAAAGCGCCGCTACAACAAAATCAATCAGAACTCAATTAACTCAACTTAAACTTGAATCAGCCATCTCATACGGAAACGCCACTTCGATCAAGTATCCCCTCCCCCCTTTGTGAGTCGCATCTGAATTTCTTCGGAACCATAGAAACTTTTCCGCTGCAATTTTGCTGTAACACGAAGCTATCTTCCTCCTTCCTGTCATAAGAGTTGCGGGCGGTTTTGATGCGTCTCCAATGGGTTGCATATTAGATTTAAAACAGAATCCCAGTTTTGCTTCAAAAATAAAACTTTGCTAGAATCGCATCTAAATCTTTCGAGCTCATTGCTCCTGAATGGCTGCAACTTTTTCCTTCAACTATTTGAGCTCCGTAATACACAGCCTGTTCACTGCAGCCTCCCAGCCTTTCCTTTGGTTACGTTAAAACCGTGCTCGTGCATGTTTTCGTCGTTGCGGAAGGCGCTAAGATGGTTTGCTAGAAGATCTGTGCAAAATATAGCAAACAAGTTTTCTACTTGTAAACATTCTTGAAGCTTCAAAAGTGACATTTTCTCTCTTTGCAAAAATGGTCTAGCATACGGGGATTGAACCCAAGACCATCATTATAGTCTAAAGTACTCTCATTTCCAAAACCATTATGAATGACTTTCAGTAAATTTACTCAAGAATGAAATGACCTGTGCCAAACGCTCAACCGCAAATGAAAGTCTTATCTGTCATTAGAAACTAAATTATTGTAAATCAATTAATTATAACGTCTAAGGTAAATTGCTCTGCATTTCTGAATTTTTCTTACTTGTTTTATTCCAATTTCTGTTTTTATGATTCAACAGTCACAGGTGAATGTCGGTATCAGACTAAACCTGATGTCCTCTTTCTTCAAATGATTACCTTTCCAAAATCGTTTCGCGACCGTAATACAGCACTGCCAAATCTTTGTATTATAGAATTTTCCTAGTTATCCAACCTATAGAATAATTTCGGGAGGTTTTTAAGCAATCCATTGATTGCGTTATCTCCCATTTTGTAAACAGATTATTTTCATTTAACGTAAAACTTCTATTTAGGTCTATTTGCATTTTTCGAGGTGATCTGACATTCGTTAATGTACGTTATCTCAAAAGCGTGAAAATGGGGGAGGAGGGTACCGTACGGTTGAGTATCTTCCAAGGGGGGGGGGGGGTCGTAGAAGAAGGAAAGGTCCCGGATCTCGAACACATTTGGCCCTGATGCCACCTTTGCTCTCATGGGATTCACTATATGTTAGCCTCCGAGGCAAAGGGGAGTTCTGGAATTGAAACTTGTCTCCATGCAAAAGTGGACGCCGTACGCCACGCGATCGCATAAATAGAAACCAGATGTTAGACTTTGAGCGAAAACGTTATCGCAATTTTGAGAAACTGTAGCTGAATAGCAACCATGGATTCCCTCTCCGAAGGTCGTGCGCATGTTGCCACTCTTAACGCAGGGTCCTACACCCGGTCGCAGGATTTCCGTCCGGGGGGAGCGCGGCAAAATTTTTTTCAAGTGAAGGTGGATGGCCACCCCTTCGGAAAACATTTTTCTTTAAGGCTTGCATGAATTTTTATAAGAAGTATTTTTATTTACAAACACAGATAAGTCATTTGCACAATTTATAACCCAAGTAAATTTCAAAAATTTCGCGAACCATTCTCGGGGAGGGGGGGGGGCCTCCTTGCCACTGTTACCACGTCACTTGGACTTCTTCGGGGCATCAGCACAATGACTTAAAAAAATAGCAAAACTCGACCATGGCAGGAACTATGTCGCAGTCTGTGATAAATTTCTGGGAGCTCGTTGATCGAACTACATCATAAATATAATCTTCGAAAGAGCATAGAAAACTGCATCGAATGCTCCATCTTTCATAAAGCTCCGTTTGTGTGGCGCTTGCTCAGAATAAAGGGAAACTTTTTTGGAGCGACCCAATGCTTGACTAAGATCCGTATCAACAAGGTGCTCACTTTTCCTTAGCAACTAGGCATCCGCAGCGGATGGACATTGCGCAGCGATCTCTGATCGATGCTGCGAATTTGAACGCTGGCCTCCAGCCATGCGTTTGATAAGCGAATGGGGCACATTGTTGACACAGATTGCATAATGTGCTTCGCGACATCCTCAGGCAGTTCGCGAATAAGGTAAGACAAGAGCATTCTATTAACTACTAACAGCTAACTACATTCTACTCCAGCGGGGATCGAGTATTTTCTGAGGCGGAGGGGGGGGGAGTGACGGCTACGCCTTAAAAAAAATCTTGTGACGCTTTACACCATTTGTCCCCCCCCCTCTCCGCGCCGGTACGCTCTGTTATAAAATTATACATTCGCCAGCGCAAATTTTGAATTGTGCGCAAAATAAACGAATGGTATATCAACAACAAACAGGCTTCGGATCTGGATTTTGATACTATAACTACTATAACCGCCGTTTTTGCACCTTTCGTGCGCATTGTTCTTTCTTAAGTTTTTTGAAATTTTTCCTCCTGCTCGTTTCGCCGCAGATTGCTTTCGTCCCTACCTCCATAAACCCCTAAATGGTATATGTATAATTCTGTGTAATTTTATTTCGTAATTTTGTGTAACTTTGTTTCCCCTTTTTCCAGGGATTAGTTTGTTTGTCCTAAATCCAGATAAGAACTTAGTTTCATTTCTCTATTTTAATTGTTTCGGTAAATTTGAAGGAGGTAAAGTACGACGGTTTTTTCTATAGGACTACAAACGGTTAGTGCGTCCTAGGATGTAACCGCGGAGAACTGGCAACCAAAAGTAGATTACTTCTCCTTGTTTACAGTTTACAGTAATGTGCACAAATGTAAAACAATATTTACTAATAATAATGAGCATAAATAAGAGTGAAATTGTTTATCCTCTGCGTCTCTGCAGAGCTCGGATTCTCTTTACGCGACGGTTACGGCGTGCGCGTCGCCGATTGTTGCGACCGCGGGCTCTGCGGGCGCGGTTTCTATTGCGACGAAGTCTACGACGTGCTCCACCTCTTCGCTAAAGAAACACCACAATTATTGAAATTATTCTGATGAAAAGCGGATACATACTCCTCGTCGTGCAGCACGCTTGACACGTGTCTCGTCCTTGGTTTGTTCATCCTAAAAAGATTGAACAGTTGAAAAAAAACAACCACAAATGGGCGAAACATACCTCGGCCTTGTTTTCTTTTTCAAGAGACTTGATGATCTTATTATCTTCAGCCTCTTGTTCTTTGTCTAGCGTCTCTTCTACCTGCAAATAATGCCAAGATTGAGAAATTCGCAGTTTTTATGGTAATTACGCAGAAAATCGCGAACTCGTCCAAATTTTCTAAGAAAGAAGTAAATATGTCCAACTCACCAAATCTCTCTCCTCATCATCGCCTATGGTAGCAAGTAGTGCCTTCTCTTCTTTCTTTAAGGCTCTGAGTTTTTTGAGAACTTCTAGCCCTGTCTCTGATAGCTGAATAGATAAAATACAGCAAAGCTTTAGCAAAACCGGAATGTAAAAAAAAGTACTAAAAAAGAATTATTTATGACTCACCTCCTCAGCAAAGGAAATATTTGATAGGGCAAATATACCCACTGCTAACAGTAGGTACTTCATCTGAAAAAATGTGATAGAAGAAATTAGAGGAAAGATTCGCGTAGTAAGTTTTATCACGAAGCACCGATATTTTCTCGAGGTTACGGTGGAACAGTGAAATAGACAAAATGACAAAACAGATGTCTTCTTCTTCAGAAAACTCAATGGAGCCATAAATGGTTCAAGGGCTTTCTTGCTAGGGAATATGACCAGAAAGAAGCATTGCGTGATGCGCTTTGTCCCAGATTAGCGATATTCTCTTAAAATTACGGTAGAAAAACGAGAAAGAGAGGAGATATTCAGTCAAGGCGTGAGTGATTCAGTCGCAAACAAAGGCGTTAGGATCTCCAACGGTGAATGTACCCCGATTAACAAGAAATGCTGCTTATATGCATGCGCTAGACGATGCGCAAAACCTGATAACCAAGCGTTACCGGACCCCCGACGAGTGATTCGGCTTTATCCAGATACTATCATAGAAGCAGAGATAGTGATCACATAAGCTCGGTTATACACACAATAGCCCGATTGGACATTGCCGAAGATGTCATGTAACCGCCATGTACGGTGCGACTCTGCGATGCAAAATGATGTGTGAGAGAAGATTTCAACATGTTGTTTACATAGTGTAACATCTTGTCCACACACTTAAGCATCATCTAGGGCAAGTACCATGAAACGTAAATATGGGAAAAACGACGAGAAGTGTAATATTTGGGAGGAAAACTGTCTACTACGTGAGAATCTGTCTGACACGTCAGAAAATCATAAATTTGGAAAATTTGCCAAGTCTAAAAGTCTAAGTGAATTGAGCAAAAACTGGGGTAAAAAACAAAGCTTTCGTTCTGTGTTCAAATCTCAAATGATGGCAACCTTTCCCATCACATAGTCACGCGAAATTATCGAAAGCATAGTGGATACTTCCATATTGAAGCCTAACTATTCGAAAACTTTTGAGGAAAATGTGGGCCACATTTCCTTGCAAGAATCCGTCATTGAAGCGTTTTACTCAATTGGAACTCAATACCTTAGTTTTGAACAATTTCTCAGGAGATACCACATATTCAGGGGTTTTTTGAACACTTTCTCAGGTGATACCACATATCCACAGACAAAGTATACATGTAACTTCAAAAAACTTTGCAAAAGAAATCTGATTAAGCAACCTATCCGGTCAATTTTCATGGTTTTGCGGACTTCAGAACTTCATCACTTTGACAGGAGACACTTCATAAGGATCTCATAGTTACCCATTTTGAGCATAATCGATCTCATAAGAGTTGTTTGCTGAAGTTACGGAGATAGGAAGTCAGAGCCAAACCTAAAGATACACTTATGCAAATTGAGATATAATAATTGTCACTTGATCATTACCCTTCATCTATACATGCACCGAAAATAAAAAATAAAACTTCTAAAAATGAATTTAATCAGTAACAATAGAACAACCCAACATTCAAACGAAAACAATATCGAAGGATTATCGATAGTGTGCAGATATGCGTTAACTTAAGCGTGCTTCTCCTTAATGGCTATATAGCGAGATAATCACCAAACTTGGGGAATTGCAGAGCTTTGGCCACTGCTTATATGGTAGGAAAATTTTGCTCCAAAATTGTTAAAAGTTTGTCAGAGAAAATGGAAGATAAAAAATAAGCATTGCTTTGATAATGGATATTGGCGTGCGCTATGTTAGCTTCTTATAAGTTTTGCGTTATGCTTGGCTACGAAAAGAAGATAGCAAATCGATTCAAAGAACGGGAAAACATAAAATGAGTATTGATAGTCGGTAAATTTGATTAGTATACGTCTTCAATCAGACTGAATTACTGCTTCAATTTTCTCCTTTTTTCAAGGCGTGTGCGTATTGATTGGGATAGATTGTTTATAACTTTGATAACTCTGGCTTAAATTAGCCCTCGTTTTTATTGAGCCATGAACACAATGACAAAATGGTGACAACTTGCTGCTTGTATCTCTGCTTTTTATATTGCACCATACTGTGAAAGCATTTCCTAGTTTGTCCGAAAGTGATCAAAATAAGCTTTTGTGATGTAAGTCTAAAGAGATGATATTGTAATGTTATTATCTGAGGATACGGTGCTAGAACGACAAGTCATAAGCGATCGCCTCAAAAATTTGTGCAAGGAGTAAAAAACTTCTTTTAGGGCAGCAAAGGTACCATTACAGGTTACGTTTTATTTGGTGCGATAGAACTTCTTTGCCAACCTAATACTGGGTGTAAAGTGTGTAGACACTGTTTGGTCGAGTGTCTCTCTAATGAATCTTTTGCCTTTTTCTAGACACTCTAAAGCTGGCTTTTACTTACAAGGGAAGCGTCTTTAGTCGAAGTGGCTTCTCCAAATGCCACTTATATCGCTCTGTAGAGCATCGAACGATGATTTCATATCCGTCTTCCTCATCTGCCAAGCGCCTTTGGAAGCCGAGTTATGACCGTTTACGTCGAAAAATTGAATGCGCAAATGAAACAAAACCCTCCAAAATTGCGCAAATGACCAGGTGATAATTATCAAAGCACTTCATTCAATGAACAACACCTTTTAATACCCCCACACTCAACACTGCCCTAGTTGAGAGCAGAAAAGACTATAACCATTGTTCTTGCATAGACTCTAAGCTTCGATTAAAGGCAGCGTCCAGGCAAGTCTGGACACATGGGGATCTCACGTGGATAGTAATTTTGGGGCCCTAACTAAGCCACTGCTCAACCGGCAGCTCAGGTAGTGCTCTAACGGCTGAGATATTCCCCTCGAAACTAAACCCCGCGATCGTATTACGCATGGATTCATGGCGCAAAGCCTGGATCCTGGCGCGAAATTGCCATGAATCCATACGAATACGATCACGGGGTCCAGTTTCGAGGGGAATATCTCAGCCGTTAGAGCACTACCTGTGCTGCCGCTTGGGCAGTGCCTTAGTTGGGGCCCGTAAGATCCCCATAGGTCCAGATCTGCCTGGACGCTGCCTTTAAACACGCTTCCCTTGTTAGATTTATATGATGAAAACCAACGATCCTCGTCATTGCTGTTTTACGGTAGGGATTCCAAAAACTCAAAAAAAGTGTCTTAGGCCAGTATGCACGTACATCCACGCTGGGGAGGGGAGGGAATCAGAGAGGGGGTATATCATATCTCGCAGTTCTACGTATCTTTCTCCTTCTTTTTCTATCTTTCTTATGAAGGTTCTCATACACTGACATCTGAGCATAACGGATGCAAGTTACTGCCATACAAGATTAGATATTCACCATTTCGTCTGATCCCCTGGGGATCCCCAGGAGATCACCTCACATTTTCAAAGTCATTTATTTTCCTGAAAACTCAATGAAAACGCTGCAAAAGGTACTGAAGATATACTATACTACGATACTGCTGAGCATGTTTTCGACAGAAGAAATGGAATCTGAAGATTTTGATTTCTTGATAATCCCTGGCTCGCGAGCAGCGGTTCATCAAAGATTTTGAGACCTTGAGATTTCACTCATTTCGACCATAGAAATGTTTAGCAGTGCTGTAGTATATCCTCAGTACAATTTTAGAGCATTTTCATTGAGTTTTCAGGGTTACCTTGAAAACGTGAGGTAATCCCTGGGGATCCCCAGGGGAACGAAATATTGAATATCTAATCTTGTATGACAGTAACCTGGCATCCGTTATGCGTGGTAAGTGTATGAGAACCTTCAAAAGCAAGACAGAGGAAAAAGAAGAAAGATATATAGACTAGCGAGATATGATGACGCTTCCCCGCTCAGATCCCCTCCCCTCCCCTCGGAGATGTACGTGCATACGGGTCTTACGGTATTCTTGCGCGTTAATCTCATAACTCTATTTTCTTCTGAACTTTTATAGTTTCGAATGGTGTAATCACAATTTCAGGAAGCACTGTCAAAACAGTTATTGCTGTCTACTTGAACCTTGTGAACGAAGCATTGCCCGAAAGCGCAAAGTTCAATTTGGTATTAGCAGTTTTGAAAACTTACTTTAGACGTTCTCAGGTTGTTTGGTTTGCTTTCTGAAGCGAGATAAGGCCTACGTGGCTAAAATCCTCCTCACAATTCCTACCGTAATCCTACAATAATGATGAGCAATCGGTGATTCGCTCCTTACTGTGAATCTAAGTGGATGCCAGCTGTACATAATGGTACCTAAAGGCAAAATACTTCTTGAGAAGAAAGGTATCAAGATTAAACAGTGTATAAATGCTTTTGGGACACCCTGTTTAATGGAAATGTAAAAGAAAACGGAACTCATTTAATTACTGTGTACGCTCAAATTCATCAAAAAATGAACAAAGAAGAGAACAACTTCATAGCTTTGGATATGTTAACGTGTGATAGAAAGCACACCAATTATAGAGACAGACGTACAGAGGTAATTCTCACAAAGAAGTCCACCTACTATTGATTGGTTAGAAGTTTCCAAAGGTTTTCCGTAATGAACGCACGTGAAAACAGTTAGGTTACATTAGCGTTTGTGTTATTCCGATCTATTGTGATATTATCGCACTCATTAGCATTAGCATGCACGTAACTAGCCTTCTCTAATGTACGACAACAACCATATGAATGCATAGTAAAATACAGGAAGTTTTTTTGATATTACATGCAGACATTTTCTGAGTGAATGCGCACTAGTAAGGTAAGATTTTCGCCAGCACAGGTTTTACTAACAATGACAAAAAACTGATTTGTAGCAAGTTATTAGGTTGATCCAAAAATAATGTCCATTTTAAAAAGTTTCACTTTGAAAAGTTACGGCTTTGTTCTGCCTTCATATATTTGAACATAGTCAAGACCATAAGAAGCATTAAACCTTCCGCAATCTAGCGCGCACCTGCTCATACTGATAGTGCAAACGGGAAAAGCCATGCGTCAAAAAACCGAAAGGTCCCCCTTGAAGAACTCGTTTTTGAAACCTTACAGCTCCTATCAAGTTTTGTTCCTGGAGCTGATAATCAGCTCATTTTGTAGCCGCAAGAAAGTAGTATATGCATGTACAGAA